CCTGGAGCGATAGGGGAGGCGCCCGCCTGGTGATGTGAGCAAAGGCGGACGCCCGGCGGGGGATTTAAGATGGACCCCCGTCCGCTCAAGGGGGAGAGAGAGAGGAGTCGGGCGGCAGCCGCGAGGGGGCTTGTCGCCAAAGAGGCGGAGGTCGGAGCGAAACCACCCCCCTGTGAGTCCGGCCACGGCAATCCTCGGGGCTGGGGGGGCCAGCCCAGAGTAAGTGGTGGACATACGGACGCTCAAACGCCAGCCTGATGGACGAGCCCAAGGTGACTGCCACGAGGCGAGGGAGGAAGGGCTCCTGAGGAGGGAAAGGAAGCAGCCCAGGGCAGAGCTCATTGGAGCTGGCGGGCTGACGCGTTTCGGCATGGAGCCCCGTCAGCCGGACCGGAGCTAAATACCTCCGTGTCCTTAGGGCCCTGGGCTGGGGCCCGTGAGTGAGGGCGGGCCCGGGCCCCCCTTTCCCTCCCCCCTCCGTAAGGGGGGGGGGGAGAAACGTGCGAGCTAGTGATCGGCCGTGCGGTTGCACGAGGCACGACCGACAACCCACATCCCCCGTCTTGAAAGTGGGAAGACTAGACATTGCGTGGGGATCAAGCCCCCACGGGACGTGGTCAGAGGACCCCGAAACGGGGGTCAGTGGGGGCACCCCTTGTACACCTTCTAAGACCAGCTTTAAGACATTGTGATGAAGGCTGCAATAACACTATTCTTACAGTAGCTTTTCTGTGGATAAAGGTCTGGTAATATTTGGTAGTTAACATGCACACAGACTACTTAGTGAGGAACTTTAAAGTCAGAAGGGATGTTGCAGGTAAGAATCCGTATTTGACAATGTTTCATATTTGCAGCACTAATTTATCTGTACAGGTTTGTCCCAGGGAAGTTGAGTGGGAGAGTATAACCTGAATTGATTACGTTCTGACATCAGGATTAATGTACTAATCAGTTTTAAAGTAGTCCAAAGTAATGTAGTCTGAAATCAAGCTAATTGTGCACAAAGCTTGGTCTTAAGGAAACAGGTAATGGGTATTTGTGACTATATATTCAACTAGTCAGTCAGAATGAAATTTATAGAAGTGTATTTTTAAGCTGTATGTGGATATTCCCTCGTTCCTACATTGTGCACTATCCACTAAATTCAGAGTCGTGATTCCTTAAACAACTAAAAATGGAAATTAATTTGCACATTACATGCTAATTAAGTAGTTCATTGGATCATAGAGAAAAACAAAACAGTAGTGCAGGATCAGACTCAAATACACAGAATTCAGTTGGACTAGGATGACCTAGTCCTAATGACCAAGTTTATTTAAAAAAAAATGCAATTTCCAGGAAAGTAGTTTAAAACTGATCAATATGACATAAAAGCAGTATTATGAAGACTGTTGGTTAAGTATTTTATTGCATCTGAGTGCCCACAGTTGTTTACCTTCATAGGGATTGAACTCCTATGCAAGCCTATACAGGAGCAACTGCAGTAAAGCGCTAATTCACAGGTGTGATGGACATTTCCTTCCAAGTTTGTTTTAATTCTGTTGACTGAGGCAGATACTTCAGAATGACTTGGTAGACAAATAGTACAGCTGGCAAGGGATTTAAAAAATTTAATAGTGGTTAATCGCATGCACCTCCCCTTTGATATGCCACCACGGCATTTCAACAAGGCAGTACTGCATGGAGCCCAAGTTCAGCTAGAGTCCCCAGCTGACCCCCGGCTCCATACAGTGCTACCCCTTGGAAATGCCACGTCAGCATCTCAAAGGGACAGCATATTAGGATCTGGAGATAGCTGGGAACTCCAGCTGATCTCCGGTAGGGAAATTAAAGACTAGTCCACTAGCTGATAAGCAAATGCTTATTGGATAGTCAGTGGACTAAATGATCCCTCCTCCCCCTTGCTACCTCTATCAGACAGCTGTGTGGTACAATCCCAAAGCAGTATGTGAAAGGGGCAGCCGTGAAGCCAGCTGCCCTGGGCTCCATGACCGCCCCTTTCAAACACTAGCTCTGGCATTTCGAAGAGACAGCGGAAAAAAGCGGCGGCCATGTTTATTTAAATCCCACAGGGGGATATTTAAATCCCCCGCGGATTTCCCTATTCTGAAGTTGGAAATTAACATGCCTCTTCCGGAGAAGGGGCCAATGTAGACGTAGCCTATGAGTTTGAGTAATCTGAAAACGTCCAATATCAAAAGCAGGAATTCACTAACAGAAGAGGCCCTGAAATAAGGGCCTTTCACAAACCCAGGATGTCTTGCTTGATGTGAATACTTTATTCATGCTAAAGACGCCAGCTACAGTTTTAAGTGTCCCCTTCTGCTGCTAATGTTAACAGGAGGGCTCCCAGAGATGCTACTGTTAGAGAAGGCAAATAAGGTAGTTACTATAAACCAGGCCTTACTCAAGAGCCTGAAAAATCCACAGCCTTGTACATAGTTTGGTTAGGCTAACTGCTGGTGGAGACAGTGCTAGATTGAGCTGAAATGTCTATACCAACAACAGGAAAAGCCCTCCTATCAGTATAAATAAGTTTCAGATCCCCATCCAACTGCAACCTTAGATCAGATGAGGCGACCCACTGAATTTAAGCATATTAGTCAGTGGATCATAAGCAAGTTTCTACACTGAAATGGTACAGCAGAAACAATGTGTTGCAAATGTAGACAAAACATGCCGGCTATTTCAAAGGTACAGAAAAAGCAGAAAACCTGTATCTTAGTCATATCCTTCTAGTCTCCGCAGTTTATTCTCATGGGGTTAAGTACAAATTCCATAGAATCAGAACACTAGAACTGGAAGGGACCTCCAGAGATAATCTAGTTCACTTCCCTGCCCTCATGTCCAGTCCCGTGCCCTCACATCAGGACCCAGTACTGTCTAGACCATCCCATGTTTTAACCTGGAGTCTGCATCCCCCAGCTGTCTAGGGGATGAGAGAAGGTAAGCAGAACAAGTTCCAGCAAAATCTGTAATTCGATAGGTCCTCCTCCCGAACCTTGGGAGATACTAGTGATATCCTACATGTTCCACCACTGCCCCTAGAGCAGGGAGAGTATTTTCTTCTGTATGTTGTTCCCAGTTAGACTGTGCTGGGGCAGAGGAGCCCCTCCTGCTCTAGACCTTTGAAGTTAAAAATACCATTTCATAGTCTGGCCTGACATGTACACCAGAATTTTTCAGAGCTGAGGAGGTTCTAGATTACCTTTGCACAGCCAAGAATAAGATTATTTGGAAATCATTTCCGTGGCAACTAACGTTCTGAGGATGTAACAAATGAATGAGATAGTCATGTAACTTCAAGAAAATATTTATAAAAATACAATGGGATCAGTTCAATGAGAAATGTGGCAATAAATACAGTTCAAGGGGAGAAAAGCATTTCTACATGGATATATTATGGCACATACAATAAAAATAAATGCACCATCAAAACATGGGACTTTTGTGGGCTCAAGGACTTTGTACAAGCTCCCTTTTTAGTAAGACAACTATTTCTAGGAGTTTGGTCAGTTTAGATAATGGAATGAATACACAATCACAAATGCACATTTATCCTGTCTGACTTTAAACACAAGCAAACAATACTGCAGAAAAAGTACTGCAGCTTAATTTTAGCATTTAACGTAAGCATGGAAGTGTTCAATATTCCATGCAAAAGATACCTAAGTACTAAACGTAAAATGAGGGGTGGATGTGGTGTGTATACCTATTTAAGTAGGAGGTTATGAAAATGCATAGATCTTTATTAAAAGAATTGGCTGTACAAGAGTACTCACAGTATTCCTTTTTACTTCATATGCAATTATTGGCTATGCTGTAGACTACAAATGTTACAGCACTAAAGGCAACTAGAAGAGGGGAAGGGCAGAGAAAGGAAAAAGGAATGTATGTATGTAAGGCAATCTTTCTTAAGGAACATTAAGCATAGTGTGTAATAAAATGGGTAACAATTCCACAAGGCTAGTTTCGTTTTTACTGAATAAAATAATGGACTAATACTGAGCTTTTGATACAGATCTAATAATCAATGCCCTGATCACTGTACTGACCATGGTAATCTCTTTGATAGTCATCCTGGAACTCGCCATGATAGTCATCTGGATATTCTGCCTGGTAATCACTATCGCTGATTTCTGATCCATTAGTTCCTGTTCCTTGGCTTCCGTTATGAATTACAGGTTCTGTTGGAGCAGCACAATATTTGGGGTCATACACTTGTCGTCCAAGCCCATACACGCTCATTCCCTTCTGGGAAGCCACTTTGTTGGTACCCATTTGTAGTGAAATAGTAGAGTTGTCCACGGGTTGCAATGTGAGCTTCTGGTCATAAATATCTCTTCTGGTGCCTGGTGCTGGCATCCCAGCCTAATAAAATAGCATTATAATGGTTTTAAATTAAGCATCATGACAAGGTTACCCTAAAAGACAGTTAATCACATTTCACTGAGTTCTGTGTACACAGCGTCAACTAGTACAAGCTACAGACAAAAATGGTGACTTAAAATGCAACAATATTACACAACTAACAGTTAACCTGTTCTAAAATACCAGTAGGGAAAAAGAGATAAGCTACAGCTTATCATGCCTTCGGGGAAGGCACTGGTGATAAGTCCAGCATGCCCCCCTTTTGGATGTTGCAAAGTGGATGGTGAATATTCAACTAGGGTACTGCATAGGGAGCAGTCTTCCATTTTTGTTTTGGCTAGGAAGTATGGAAAATGAAGCTTCCCTTTAACTTTACTGACTGACACACAACCAGAGAAAGGGACTCTCTGCAGACATT